CACACAGCGCTGGAGGTCAAGGATAAAAGGATTAGCCATGTTAGTCTGGATCTGTAAAAGCAGCAAAGAGTCCTGTGGCACCTTATAGACTAACAGACGTCTAGGAGCATGAGCTTTCGTGGGTGAATACCCACTTCTTCAGATGCATGCATGACGTCTGTTAGTCTATAAGGTGCCACAGGACTCTTTGCTGCTTTTACAGATCCAGACTAACATGGCTACTCCTTTGATACTTGACATCAGGAGCTGTGTGCACATGTGTATGTGTCTGTGGGGCAGATATGAAGGAAGAAATTGCCCCACATTGGGGCACTGCAGAGGGGGATGTATATTAAGAAGCATCAAGGATGGATCCCATTTCATTGTTATAGCCTGAAGGAATCAGTTGTTAATGATATTAACCAAAACACCGTTTTAAGCGACAGGAAGTGAATTTCAGGTAGATAGCGCCATGTAGCAGAGGATTTTATAGGGCTGGATGGCAGGGGACCAGCTGGAGAACGCTAGGCTGGGGAGGAGGAACAGCTTCTAGCCATCAGGAGGTGGAGCCAGGTTGGGATTCTTAACAGGAGTCAGCCCCATCTTCTCTCTGCCTGGCCTGCCCTCCTGATATGACCCATCTCCCACTACAGCTGGTTCTGGTGGCTGACATCTCCGCCACGAAGTTCTGCTTTGCTCTCCCTACATTTTGCTTTGAGTTTCCGGTGCAGGATGGGGGGATGCAAATCCCGTTTGCCCACACAACAGGCATGCCCTCCTCTACTGTTCCTTTGCACTCGAGAGAGAATGGATGGGTCGAGGACGAGCTGTTTTAGACTGGCCCACGTGGAGTAGCTTGGAAAAGGAGCCTGAAGCTATCGCATGGATTTGCTGGATTCCTAGCAGTGGGGAGGCAGACTGGCTATGGGACTTTGAAGAATGTGCCCTATATTGTCTGCCATGTTATCTCATCACTTCAAGCTCTTCCTACCATCTGATCAGTAGACTCCAGCCACTGAAAGGGAAGGGGTTGGTTCAGACACTTGTGGGGAGGGTCTGGGGTGAGTATCTGGGGCTGTGGGCTTCCTAACACAGAGAAGGTGATTGCAGGATGGGGTTTATCGCCTAAGCAGATGAGAGTAGCTCAGCCAGGGAAAGGTTTGGACACAAAGCGGTCCCTCCTGCTGGGAGCCCAGACTGACCTTCTCACACAGCACAACCACCGCTCAGGCTTTTGGGGCCTCATTTTGTCCTTTCGCACATTGCGCTGCCATGGTGATGGGGCCCCCGTCTGGCTAAGCCTCATGGACTGGCTGACGCTGCATTCCCAAAACTCCCCTTGGCATTCTAAGGGCATAAAGGTGGCAGGATGGGGCCACTAAAACCCCCTTTCTACAAAGGGAGAGACTCATGCATTGACTCACACACACGCAGACACTCCCCTCCCCCAGCTCCCTCATGCCCCCGAGAGGGCAAGGGGAGCCATTTGGTACTACAGTTGGCAGATTACGTGCCTGGCTCTCAGAAACACAGCGTGAGGGCTGCCTGAGTCCCAGAGAGAGGGGGAAAGGGTATACGTGTGTGAAGAGGGGTTAATTAACAGCTCAAAGGGTTGAGCTGCCGCCCATCCATCAAACTTCATGAGCAATAAATGACAATAACTAAAACACCAGCAAATGAAGCTTTACATGGAGAATTAAATTAAGTTCCCAGATACAGCCCTGACATGAGATAATAGCCATTCTTCAGCGGGAGCCCTTGGCCGCCCTAGTTACCACAGGAAATAATGACTTTGGGGTTGCGGCTTCCTCATGGTGTTAGCTTGGGTCACCCCATAAGGGGATGTTGAACATGCTCTGCGCCCAGTCATCCCGACTGGTGTCAGTCCATCAGTTTCAAAGGAGTGACTCTGGTGTGACGGGGAGCAGAGGCTGGCCTTGTTGGGAATCTGCTGGGAAATGTAAACCAATTTCTCAGCCGGGGAAAGGTTGTGTGGGGCTCTGCCACTGGCATTCTCCTCCGGCCGTGACACAAGGGAGGCATTTGCACAGTGACCACAGAAAGCGGGAAGCGGAGGGGCTTACGGGCCTGATTTTCCTCTCGCTAACAGCGGTGTCAATCTGCAATGATTCCACCACACTAATGTAAGGGCCTGATCCGTCTCCCACTGAAGTCAACAGAAGTCTTTCCTGGCCTTTCGAGGGGAGCTGGATTGGGCCGGAGAAGCAAAGCTAGGCCCATATGTTTTGTTTTGGGAGGAATGCAATCTCAGACCCCTCTGCCCCATTCCTGGTGCTGCCCCTGGGAATGGCTCCCTTCACCCAACCCCCTCAGGCATGTTCAGAGGTTAAAGGCTTTGGGGACGTGAAAGGTTTATTGGGAGAAAGTGTTAATACTAACGACCTGCGTACTGCTGCACTCCAGCGTAGGCTTGTTGCAAGGGGTCTGCTGCAGTCGGGCTCTGTGCTGTGGAGACAGGAGAGAGAGAGGGAATAAAGGCATTAAAATATCACATTCACACTGGCTTTCTCTCTGCTCAAGTGTTTTGCATGTGGGACGGATCAACCTGGAGAGAGAAACCCACCGGTGCGGCACATGCATCCCACACAACAAATTACACCACGTTTGTTTTACCTACCCATGAAAAAAGAAGGGTTTTGTCAGCCCTTCGTGGGGGGAGGGGAGGAGATGGGGGTCTGAAATGAAACAGAGCTAAATAGCTTTTGGTCCTGAAAGTGGGATGGACTTTTCATAAGAGACGTTTCTTTGGAGAGTTCTGCTACTTCCCATTCCTACCATGAGAACCCATCTTGTGGGATTGTGGGACTTCTACCTTGCGCTGCCTGGCAAAATGTGACTCCAGGCACACGCAGGTATACACGATTTATCTTGTTCGCAGCAATGCTGCACACATCAATTGTTCTTAGGCTCAGCCCCACTCCCTGATCTTCAAGAGACAAACCTTTCTACATTCCCCTCTGGAATGCCTCTCATTCCTCTCCCGGAAGTGGAGAGAGGTACAATAATAAAAGAAAAAACAAAGAAAGGAAGAGAATCCTTTCACAGCCAGGCCTCTCCTTAATTTGTGGCCTCTAGCTTTAATGTTACTCAACCATAACAGTCACAAGACAGATGCCCGGGGGTGTAGTGCACTGAGGCAAGAACCAAGGACTTGATGAGTCTCTACTTTTTCTTACAAACAATGCACATGTCAGGGTGAGGAGCTGTACGTGGGAGATGGAAGGTGTGAAATGAAAGGAAGAGCCTGGATTTGGAGGACACGTCATTATTTTCCTTCTAATAATCAGCACTAGAGATAGCCCTGAACCAATCCCAAATTTGGGAGACAAATTTAGATCCTGGAGTTTCTCTAACTATACCATTTATCCAACTTATAATTGCTACTATTTATTTGTGTTACTTAGCACCTCAGGACCTCACTGTGCCAGGCGCTGTACAAACACAGCACAAAAAGTCCCTGCCCCAACAAGCTTATAATCTTAATATAGAACAAGAGACAACTGCTGGACACGGACAGACAGATGGGGAGCAGAGAGAAACAAAAACTCATGTGCTCTCTGAAGCCTCCCAGCGCCCTGTACAAAATTTTGCTTAACCCGCTGAGGAAATGCAGCCACCTCTGTGGCAGAATATGGCAGCTGTTTCAAAGGGCATAGCAAGGCTGGCCAACAGCTTTAGGAGAGGAAGCAGCCAATCTCTGGGTAAGCCACTTAGTCCCCTTCCTGGCTTCAAAGGGCATTTTCTTTCTCCACAAACCTCCCTCCCGCTCTCCTAAAAATGTTTGTTTTTGTGAAACTTTGAAGTTTAGTTCAAGTACAGCCAGAGCTGGTAAGTTTTTTTTTTCCTTTCCCCTCTGGTTGATGAAAAAAAAATGTTGGATAAGCTCTTTCTTTATCTGCAGCCATAAAATATTTAAAGCAAAGCTTGACTGAACCTCCAGTCCAAATGTCACCTTGGCCCTAATATTTCACTTCTTGTTATGAGTTTAATTTGTATTTATTGGTGCTGCACAGTTTTACATTTATGTGGCCCCTCCAGGCTTTGTACTTTTAAGACAATCCCTTAGGGAGCAGCTACTTCCCTCCTTCCCTGTCTCCTTTCTCTGAGAATGGAGGTGTGGCTGCCGGCAAGGGCTCAGATGGCGCAGTCGACGTGGCGATCTCGCAAGAAAGTCTGGTTGCCCTTGCTAAGGCGAGACACTGAATGTGTGATAGGGAGGAGTACGGGCCGGCTCTTATCGGCCCACTGAATTTTGGGAGAATGCTGTAGCGGCCCCGTGTGTCGCCCTTCCCATCTGATTTGAGCCGAAGTGTCAAAGAACAATATTAACCCTAATGGAGGTCTTCCTAGTTGACTCGCCTCACCAGGGCTTGGGACAAGGGCAGAGGCAAGTTGCACATATCTTAGAGGGTAGAAACGGACTCTGGCCAGCTCTCAGAGTGAGTTTGAAGGATATCTTTGACTGGTTGGGCTGCAAGAATGGGTCATGTGGGTAAAGGCTTAGAGCAGGGACTGGTGTCAAGATTTACGGGAACCAACTTTACCACAGACTGACTGAGGACAAGTCTCTAGGATGGGTCTACACTAAGATGTAAGGCCAGGGTTAGCAGAGCTTGAGTTCGCAGACCCAGGTTTCATAACCTAGGGCTTGAGCATCTGCACTCATTTATAACCCCATTTTAGGAATTGCTGAACCTTGGGTCCCAACTGGGGGCTCCAGTGTCTACACTGCATTATGGGGGCCCAACTCCAACCATCCATATAGCAGACTTCCACGCGCCCTCCCAAAATGTGGCCACTTTAGCCCTTTGTTCGTGGTGCAGTGTAGGAAACCTTCTTGACTGCCCATCAAACTTGACTGTCCAGGGAACAAAGAAAGTCGGCTCGTGGGATTCTTTTGGTGGACTCCCAGAGCACAAGTCCAGTGGGGCTGTGTCTACACTGCAAAGCAATAGGGCTGGAACCCTGGATCCCAGCTTGACTCAGGCTCAGGCCCGTGGGGTCTTTGGGACCCTGAGTCCAAGCCCCAGGTTAGCATGATTTATGTGTAGACAGAATGGGGGTTAGACTTGAGGCTAAGTTCAAATCCGGGGCTTACATCGCAGTAAGTGCATACAGTCCACTGTAGTCTTAAACTATGCTTCTGCACATGTTTTTGCTCAATCCTCCTACCATCCACACACAACCTTCAAGAACATGCTAGTTTGTGCTTTGAACCCACGCTCAACTACATGGCTGAAGGTAGGGTTAAAGCCTGAGCTGTGCTTTAGCTTGGGCTGGGACCATCCCATTTTGCAGTGAGGACACAGGCAAGATCACGCGAGTGCTGATGGTCCTCCACTGCCTTCCCACAATTCCCCCTGAGGGAACAGACAAGTTCTCCTGTAATTGTCAGAATTGCCTGGGAAAGAATCCTAGAGTGTTTCAGCATAAAGAACCAAGGGCTATGCCCCCAGGTATGCCCCGGGCGAGTACAGAGGACACAGTTGTGGGGCTATGCTTAGCTGTGGAGACGCTCACACCTGGGCTAAGGTAACCTGAGCGCTCAGCTGCAGGTTTCGATCACCCAGGCTAATGGTGCAGTGTAGAAGTACCCTTAACTTATACATGCCTGAGTTTATCTATACGTAAAATGGGTAAGTACTGTGTTATCACAACATTCATTTCCCCTTCCAAATATAGTTTAGTCCATGCCTTGAGTGCTAGGTGAAACCTCCCAGTAATAACAAAGCTTTGTGACCACCAGAAGATCTCAAGGTGCCAATTACAACACCCTCTCCCCGTCTGTGTGCTGGATAAATATTTGGAGTTCAGCTAGCTGGAAACATTTTTTTTGTCGGAATTTGCTAATGAATCAAAATAGAAACACTTTGCAGAGATGGTTCAGTTCTGACAACATTCCTTCAGACACCAGGCAAAGCTCTGATACAACCTGCCGTCATGCCCAACAGACTGCTGGGGGGCCGGGGGGGGGGGGGGCATAGGCTTCTTCTTATGCGGGCTTCCCTGGGTTGGGGACCCCAGAGCTTCCAGGGTCTGTGGGTCCAGGGCAGCTGGCCAGGGACCCTACGTCTCCATCCCCTTTCACGGAGAACTTTGAAATTTGTAGTTTTCATTCCTAATCGGAACAAAACCAGATTTCGAGCTACCTAAATCCTCAGCTCTATGGAATTATCTTTCTCTGCCTTACTCTAATCTGGAGCCTCCTTTTATAAACGTTCTAAGGCACAGAGAGGCTCATGATGGCCGGCTCTTGCAGAGATGACAAACTCTGGCAGCCTTACGGAATCTCATCCTCATCTCTGACAATCAGACTTTGTCCACTACCACACAACCACTCAGTGGCAGAGCTAGGAACAGAAGCAGGCTTCCGGACTCCGGTCTCCAGCATCCGTGGGAAGCCCACGTAGTTTATAAGCCACATTCTCATCATCAGGGCCAAGGCAATCCGCTTAGGAAACTTAATTTTAAATTACTTTTAACCTTTTAAGATTAAATATTAAAAAACGGCAACATGTTTTATTTAAAGGGTTTGGAACAACAGGCCCCTAAATGCAGCTCTGGGCCCTCCCACGCAAAGCTTTTAGAGCTTGTAATTTCCCTCCGCCTTTAGGAGACTTGTCACATGGGCGTTATCTAACCGTGAAGCTGTGGGTTTCTCACTTGATGCTGATCTCTCCACAGATCACGTGGAGAATTCCCCCTGGCCCATGGAAAGTTTCCCTATTGATTTCAGTAGGCCCTGGAATGTTACTGATAGGTAAGGAAGATACAGGAATCTAATGCTTTTGCCTTACTGCTGGCACCTGGGCATAAACTCCCATTCTGTACAGAGCTGCCAGGCAGGGAGTGGTGTCACGGTGAGAGCCAATGCCCTGTAGCTCCACGCTAGCAAAGAGACCTGCAGGGAGGCAACACTCCAGCAGCCTGGGGCTCTGGGAACCATAAAACCAGCTTCATTCTGAACCTCATTCCTTGCCCAGACCCCTGGGAAAAGACGATGAAGGCTGAAGATCGGTAGTGTAATGATTCTCCTGGCTGAATCCTAATCTGTGGGGTTGAACCTCTGCCTGGTGGATCTGAAAGCTTCTACTGCTTGAGCTAAAGGACCCGGCTTCCTTAGCTCAAAAGCTGTAGCAGATGCATAAAGCTCTCAGCCCAGACTAGGCACTAGAGGGAGACAGAGCCATGCTGTGTTAATGTGTGTTGCAGACAGCTTGGATCTCAAGTCACCTATAAGTGAAATGAAACAGGAGTTAGGATTTAAGATGGGCCCGAGCCACACAGTTGAGATCTAGATCCAAACTTTCCCAGAGTTTGGTTGTGTTTGGATCCTGGGTTCATATCTCTAGTTAGAATTCAAAGCAAAGGGGATGTCTGAATTAATTCTCGGTGTCCTAACCTAGAAGTGTGTGCAGGGATATGTTTTATCACTCTCCACATAC